CCAAATTGTTATTGCATGGATGAAATTAGGAAGAGCCATCAAATTTGTAGTTCATTACAAGTCCTTAAAGTTGGGAGGTGGGAGCGGGGGGCTCAAAAGTAACTTCCTCTGGTTATACTCACAGGACACCCAGCGTTCTCCTATATAGTTACACTAGGTACAAAGCTTGTTGCCGCTGAATTCGCTAGTTTGCCTTGCTTTTTTAAAGCTACTCACGACCGATGATATGCTATCAGAACCTTTTAATTGACATTTGAATTTGGCAAACTATATCTCTGCAGGTGCAACAACTTTACGAAAAGCTCAGCGACAGAACAGTAAGCCGTGTGCCTCAAAAAGAAAACAGCGAACACAAAGGTCCAACAGAAGAAAACGAACTTCAACTAGAATACGCACAAAGAAACCGGGTAGCGAAGAAACAGAGGCCGACCCAAGTGAAGAGGATGATGAAGAAGAAAACGACGACCCAGATGAAGATGAAGATGAAATAAAGTCGGGGGAAGAGGAATTAAGTGACGAGGAAAGAGGAGAAAGTCAAGGCGAAGAAGACAGCAACAAAGAAGGAAGAGCAGAGGAAGAAGGTGAGGAGGACGTGGACGAAGATCAGGTTCAAGACGAAGACGATGAACCAGAAGGTGGAGATGAACAAGGGAATGAAGATGAAGGAAACGAACAAGAAGAGGAGCAAGATGATAATGATAATGATGAAGAGAATGGTGATGAGAATAATGATGGTGATGAGGGGGAAGAGGAAGGATAGGAGTGCGAAGAGAAAGTGAAGAAAGGAAGGGAAGGAGACATAAACAGGAACAGAAACATAAACAGAAGAGAGGGAAAGACAAGAGAGGACAAGGAAAGAGGAAGGAGAGGAGAGAGAAAGTAGGACTGAGAGAGAATAGAAAAGAGACGAAACAGAAGGGAAAGTGGAAGAAAAGAAACGAGACGAACAAAAATGAGCGAGTAAAGGGAACGTTGCATGGAAAACGAAGAAACAAAGCGAAAGATCAGAAAGGGAAGCAGTGAGAAGAGAGTGAGAAGACAAAGATTAATCGATTAGTTATCTGGTAGAAAAGTAGGAGTGTAATAGGGGAAGACTGGATAAGAACAAGGCTTCGGCAGGCATGCGCGCGCAGGTTAAGACTTCAAAATAGAAAGTCCTCCAATGTACTTCCCAGAGCTCACGTAACGTGGGCCTTGCGAACGAGATTGAGAGTCCTCCAATTCTTTCGCTTTCAGTAATGTGTAATAATTTTAACCTTCACCTTGAAATACGGTCGACATCTTTTTTCCTCCATTCCGGTAAAAAGAGTTAAGAAGAGACATTTATTAGCTTTTGGTATACCGCCAGTTTCCTTTATTTATGCCCACGATGCTCTCCGCGTGCAGTTTTTGTCGACTTAACACTCCATTTTTCATTTCTAAAAAAGCATTTTATATAAAATAAAGAGTTCTATTATGTAGCGCAGGGGCAGATCCATTTCTCCAGGATTTTTCTTAGGAGGGGGTGCACCACTACGGAGTGGCGTAACACCAATAAACCACATGAATTCTTTTGCAGAATACAAGTTTATTAGAAAGCCGCATGTCATCTCGAGGGGGGGAGGGGGGGTGGGCACCCCTGTAACCTCCCGCTAGATCGGCCCCTGTAGCGAATCCAAGTGAACCCTTAGTGCTGTTGCAGTGAACCTTTTGTCATTTTAAGTAAATCACATTCATCAATGATCAATGCAAAAGTCATGCAAAAACTTAAGGAACACGATTTCTTAAACCTTTCCCTTTGCGTTCCTAGCTTCCACCGCCCTCCGCGCCCCGTTCACACCGCTGGTAGGAGTGGACGAACCATGTACAGTTTCTCTTTCGGACATCATTTTAAAAAGAGTACGCCAGTGCAATAATAAATTAATTAGCCCTCAAATGCTTGCTTGTACGATATTAATCATTAATAGCCGGTGTAATACCTATAAAATGTTTAAGCAAGCAATCTGGTTCTGATTCCTTTGTTCAGGCAGAGTAGTATAGTGGAATTCCAATTTTTTACGGACCTCTCTATTATTCGAATCATTATTTTGCTTCTCTCATGAAAAGCTAGGTGTTCTATACTGGTATTTACTGTTTCGAACCCTCCGATTTTCGAAGTCGGAGTCTCCTTGGGAACTGGGAACGAGGTCTTGAAGTGAGCCTGCAGTTACCCATGACAGCAGAAGAGCGTGAACCAACATGGCGGCCAAAGAAGTAGAATTAGGTTTTGCTGAAGAAATAGGCAATGATGCAGTTCGTAGACTTCAAATGACCAGCGCCTTCTTTCCGAGTAAAATCGGTGGAAAACCAGCGTGGCTAAACTTACAAGATCTGCCTGATTCTAGGCGCTTGCTCTGTAAGATCTGCCAAAAACCTATGATCTTACTGTTGCAAGTGTACGCTCCGTTGGCCGACGACCGAAGTTTTCATCGAACGATTTTCGTATTTTGCTGCAAAGATGGAAAATGCCACTCCAAAAACCGCAGCGATTGCTTCCTTGTTCTGAGAAACCAGTTAAAACGCGATAATAAGTTCTACAGCTATCATCCCCCTCCAGAGCTAGATGAGATCAACGAACTCTCGTTAGAATCCGTGGCAAATGAGTTTAAACCAAAGGCTTGGACAAGTTTGTGCGATGTGTGCGGCTGCAAAGGAGACAAGAAGTGTTCGAAATGTCACATTGCTCAGTATTGTTGCCGTGAACATCAGACGGTGGACTGGAAATCAGGGCACAAAAACTTGTGCACGAAATTGTGTGCAGAGGGCAGTCAAGATCAACTGGTAGAAGGTGACTGTAAACATAATACTATGAAATAATCTGTAGTGCTATAAAGCTTATCCTGTCATTTCATGGCCATAAAATATAGCAAAAATTATTAACACTGGAAAATGCCTGAAGCGGAGGGGGACGGG